CCTATTTTATTGAGTTGTATGGAGGAAATGAAATGGCTACATTGGAGTCTGTCTGCTTATTCACTTTAAGATCAATATCAAATAAAAAATCTGAATTAAGTCTTGTGTATTTTAACCCTGTTTTATAGAAATGAGAGAGAATATAATTGAGTGATTTACAATTGTTTAAGCAAATGCAGACAATACAAATATTTATAAGTGTCATGGTCAAAACTATATCAATTTTACTCATATTTCAAGGCTACTTTGTGTACATATTTATAAGCGTAAATCACATACTGAATGGAAAAAACACACACCAAACAAACCATATTTCATTTCTAAGATACTGTCTTTTCTTCCCTCTCCTTCTCACTTTATCTTCAAGTTCAATCTTCTTTCTTGAACCGATCCCCACAAACATTGATTCTTGTAAGGATATCAAACGAACAAACTACCATAGGTAGATTAGATTTCCACTTCATGACATGATCTTTCATCAACCCTTCACTTGACAGACCGTACCCATGCACATGATGATTACATGCATACCTTGATGTAGTCTCACCTCAGTCCACAATCAAATAAAAATAGAAAACGCTCAATCATGTTTCAGCTCCTAAATGAATTAATGTTTTCAAGCATTGTTCAAAATATAACAAGGGATTATATACTACATTACGCCATACCACTAGAATTAAGCAATGACGCTATCTCTCAGAAGTTATTCTTAAAGGTCGACAACAAATAACTGTAGTTTGTGACAAAGACAACAAATCATGTCCAACCTATAAATTTGTAAAATACTAAAAACCAAACAGTTCATAACCTTGGTCAAAACCAATAATACTGGGAAGGAACACACCTGGAATATGGCTCACATTTCTTGGGATCAGTTTTCTATTTTTCCATTTCTATAAAATCTAACCCTTTTGCTCTCACAATTCCAAACATTGTCGATTTTACACTAGGAATGTCAGTTTATGCTTATTTCAGGCTTAAACAGGACTTAACATTACTGTTTGTTGTTGTTTTAAGTAATTGCTGATATTGAAATGATAGTATCTTTAAATGGTTGAAGCATTTTCTTTAACAGCAACAATTTGCATGTGTCGAATGAACTATTCTTTTCAATAAATAATGCAGAAATGATGACGAATTCTAGCATACTAAATGAGTGAAAATTGTAAAGGCTAATGTTTTTTTCGTTCTGCAGCAACATCTGCCTTTCCATTCTCCTTATTCTGAGTGATTTTTAACAGGATCTATTGTAAGAAGGACCAGTAAACATAATTTCACATTCCTTGCTTCAATTAATTTATATTCTTCAAACAAGAATTCATTCATACACCCATCACCACTCCTCACTTCATCTGACTTGACATACATTCATACAACTATGTTTATTCAAGGGAATTATATTTATCTTGCCTAATTTGAACTATTCAGACAACACCTGGTTATCCATCAAATACCTCTACAGTTACTCCCAGCAAAATCAGGAGTTTTCCAACAACTAAAAATGCAGTGTTTAGAAAATATAAAAAGGACTAATCTGAACTTTAAATTGTCCTTAGAATTATATGCAAACTAACACAAAGCAGTCTGCACACTGTATTGACTCCATTCTTAGACAACAATTGAAATTTTAAACCCTTAAAACGGTATCAACATGTATCGTTTTACTGAGTCAAGAAAAGTACACCATGCTATGTCTGGTCATTGATGAGAGAGACTTAGTTACAGATTAACTCAAACTCATTTTACTGCTTCACCATATCAATAAAAGAAAGCTTGAAACCTGTATAGAGCCACAGCATGTTGTAAATAGGAGGGGATTTCTGCTCGGCAGGAAAGAGCTACCTGGAGTACTGCACATAAATGCACCCCTCCCTCCCTCCCCCCCCCCCCCCCTTCCAATGAATCCATGTCTCAATAACAAGGTAGGAATAGGTACTGTGTCCTTTCATGCTAAATATAAATCTACCTCAAGATAATTGATTCATGTACCTTTTCTTTCACATCACTAGACTTATCGATGTTGTGAAATGATAAATTTATGATTCATTCAAGCTGAATTTGCTACATAAAATATGCCCCTCCCCCCCCCCCCCTCTCTCTTTCTCTCTCTGTCTCTCACTACCTCAGTCTCTCATCACATCATCTATATCTAGCTGGCATCATAATATTTATGCATCAGTGGCATTCTTATCAATTCACATTCATATTCAATCAATATTCAATCAATGGGCAATATTATACAAATAATGAATGGTTATGAGTTCAATAGTGCGAATATTTTCATGAGTTGAATAGAATTAACGTTAATCTTTCAACGAATGAAAATATTCGCACTACTGAACAAATGAAAAACATTCATTATTTGTTTTATACAACATCGAAGAAGATCTAATAGAACGTTGATCAACAAATTATGCTTTACTCCTTATATTAAAGATAAATAAAGGTTGGAGTCAAGCCTTCTCGATTACATTCAGATTGCCTTCGCGTCAGATACACGCACGGCGGAGAGGTACGCAGTCTGCATATAACCAAAAATGCACGGTCGTGCAATATAACATCTATTGAATATCATGTGACCAACAATCCTCCATTCAAATGACAAGGATCCACGTAGGTGTTGTATAAAAGACAGATAATAACACCTTTGAAAGGATACATAATCAATATATTCTCTATATCTTTTTTTAAAAAATCCATTCAGAAGACACATTGTAAAATGCAACCAAACTAGATGGAACTTCGACTGCGCGCAGTCGAAATGATGCCTCCGTCATAGAGCAATTTACAAACCAAAACAGAAGAAATTTTTCAAATTCAAGTTCAATTGTAATCCATTAACAGGTTCTCAGAATATTGTGATTACAAGCAATTTCTCATATACATATATGACCCTTTGATCTTTGACCTCATGACCCTAACATCTACTCAGTTCATTGGCTCTGCAAGATGTCCAGAGTTAAATAGTAATCCATCTGTCAGTTCTAATGAGAATGTGTTCACAAGCTATTTTTGCATCTATAATGAGCCCATGACCTTTGACCTTTGACCTCATGACCAAAGAATCTACTCAGTTCATTGGCTCTGCAAGATGCATACATGATCTAAGTTTGGCAGGAATCCATGAATCTGTTCTAATGATAATGCGATCACAAGCTATTTTTGCATACATAATGAGCCTCATGACCTTTGACCTTGACCTCATGACCCCAAAATCTAATCAGTTCATCGGCTTTGCAAGTAACATACATGACCTAAGTTTGGCAGGAATCCTTTAATCGGTTCTTGAGATAACGCGATCACGAGCAGTTTTTGCATACATAATGAGCCCTGTGACCTTTGACCTTTGACCTCGTGACCCCAAAATCTATTCAGTTCATCGGCTATGCAAGATACATAAATGACCAAAGTTTGGCAGGAATCCATCAATCGGGTCTTCGGATAACGCGATCACGAGCTGTTTTTGCATACATAATGAGCCCTGTGACCTTTGACCTTTGACCTCGTGACCCCAAAATCTAATCAGTTCATTGGCTCTGCAAGATACATACAGGACCAAAGTTTGGCAGGAATCCATCAATCGGTTCTTTGGATAACGCGATCACGAGCTGTTTTTGCATACATAATGAGCCCTGTGACCTTTGACCTTTGACCTCGTGACCCCAAAATCTAATCAGTTCATCGGCTCTGCAAGATACATACATGACCAAAGTTTGGCAGGAATCCATCAATCTGTTCTTCAGATAACGCGATCACGAGAACGGGACGTACGGACGTACGGACGGACGGACGGACAACCAGAAAACATATTGCCTCCAGCTACTTCGTAACGGAGGCATAAAAAAGATGAACAAAAACATTATGTAGGTCTCTAAATGCTCTTATTCTGACTGAAACTTTTTAATATGTGTCTTCCAACAATTCATGAATTTGTGCACAATTCAAATACATCATGTACACACTAGGCTATTTTTATAATGTAATCAAATTTGATGCATAAGTCTTTCTGATGTGCTCCAATAAAAATCATTTCATTTACCTGTTAAGAATAGTAAGAATGCAATGGGTAAATTAAATAATATGTATCGAGGCACTTCACAAAGACGTATTCATTAGATTTGGTTACATTACGAAAATAGCCTATTCCTCCATAATTTTTGTAGGTGTGCAAAGGCTATAAAGAATGCTGTGTTTATGTGACATCCAAACTAAAACAGTGTAGAAATTATCATTTGCAAGAATATGTTCACAGATGTTTTCAACAATTTACAACTCAAAGAATATGCTGACAAGATGATTACCGTAGACTTTGTGTTTTCTTGTAATTCACATAAAGTCAATGTATATTCTCCTTTAAAATATGAATTGGAGTTGAGTAAATCTTTAAAAAATCAGTTAAATGTAATATTTTAACAATGCTATTTTCATGCTGACAGCAGTTTCCAGGCCTATAGAAACACTAGCACATATCAAGGCATCTGCACATGAAATGATGACAAATGATACAATTTTGGACTGAAGAATGGCTTCACAAGCCTGTTGATAATCATAACAGCTAACTTCATGTATAACTTAGCTATAAAGAATCCAAAATGAAGACTGTGGATCACTCTATAATTCACTGCAGGTACATTGATATGATATCATTCAAGATGACAAAAAATCTTTCACAAAGAAATGGTTCTGTAGTTCTAGAGGCATTTTCCTACACCTGTAGATGAAAGATGTTCACCAAGCAGTTGGTAGTTGACTGTACTTGGATTAGGGCACAGGGTACATGGAGGTAAACTTCTAAATTTCACACCCACTTTCTAAAAATGCTGGCTATGGTTGACAGAGCAGGTCACCAAATAACTCCCCTAGCCAAAAAAAGAGAGGACATACTGAATGAGGGATGGAAACAGAGAGAGATAAAAGTGATGAAGACACTAATATTTACCTGCTAGTAATACAACTGTAAAGTCAGCGAAGGAAACAAAGAGATGGCACAATTTTGACAGAAGAGCCGTTTTCCCTGGACGTAGCTGATAGTATCCTCTTGCAATGATCCCTTTGGCTAAACTAAAGCAGAACTCGTATAACTGTCTCCTCACTGTACGAACGAAGAAGAAAAGAGATAGCACCTTGCGTTAATCGCCTGGGTGAACTCGGCGTCTCTAGCTTCCAACTGCTGGCAACAGTTGGGCATGGGATCGGGGAGTGGGGAGCTCGGAGAAGGGGTATCTTCTTGGTGCCCACAATTGCGTATTGTTTAGACGTGTCCGTTATTTGTGGGGTACCCAATTGCCCAGATCACTCCTGAAAAGGGTCGACTAGACAAGAGGGTGGGATGAATGGGGTACGATTCCACCGCATTGAGATTCTATAGGGGGTGTTAACGACCCCCTGTCACTTAAGTGGGTGCTATAGATTATATTGTAAGGGGTGAAGGGGTGCTCATTGGACTTTGTAGTATTGTGCCATAATAGGAAGCAATAAACAGTTTGGTCTGTTCTTTATCTCTTTCTCTAATGTCCATCTCTCCCTCCCTCTTTATGTCTTATTTCTTCTCCCTCTCTCTTTCTGTCTTCTCCCCCTCTCTCTGTCTCTCTCTCACCTCTCTCTCTCTCTCTCTCTCTCTCCTTCCCTCTCCCATCCTCCCCTCCCCACTCATTACTGTGAGAACACATAGAGTAAACATTGGTTTCATATATAGTTTACACATATTACAACCTGGCTATTGGAAGTACAACTGATACTGGCAAGTACAATCAATACACGGCATGATGAACTAAACGACACCACTGACATCCAGATAGACAGCATGACAATAAGTTTCTACTGAATTGCGTTAAATGATCAAAATTGGTTAATTCAGCTTGAACTTCCTGAAATGTCTAGGGTCATATGCCCTCTTGTGATGAGTGTTGTGAGGAATACAAGACCTTCTCAATAAATTCATACTAATGGCTATGGAAACCAGATTGGCCTTGTAATAAGCATACAGAATTTGATAATTCACTAGTTGATGTTAACGGATATTCAAATGCAAAAGCATAGAGGTGCAGAAAGCGATTTAGCTCTGGAAAACACCAGGAACTTTGATTCCTGTTTTTTCAATGAGAAATATATACTTGACTTGAAAGTGAATTAAATTAAAGGTAATACAAAGTTTTGGGAAATTTTCAAAATTGGGTGGATAGTGAATCTTTACCATTTTGATATATTTGGATGCCCCTGTGGATGTATTATAAGCACCAGAAATTTTAGCCCCTAAAATACTTCTGCTGTCGAGAAAAATTGATTATAAAAATTTACTAGTGCTCGCGGTAAATTTTGATAAATTTCAAATAGCGCCTACGGTCGTACAATGGTAGCTGCGACCATGAAAATCTCAGAATATGTAGCTGTGATATATAATTTCCAAACGGGAATAGCTAATCAGTCGATTTTAGTCAAGAAACATTGTGTTATAGCTTAATTGATATCTCAACCTTGAGAGGGAGCTATACAACATAAAGAGTTTATTATTTACAATTTCATACCTTAAGACTCGATTTCAACCGCGACAACGATCACTGAATATTGTAGGATCGCATATGCTTCCAATATATTCATTTGAACCAAATTTATGACCCCATACCAAAACTTTGTATTACCTTTAAACTATAGCACATTCATGGATAGAGGGGCCTTTCTCCTGAAAACCAGGCTAGCAAAGAAACTGAAACTATGCAGGAGACTGCAAATCAAACAACAACAGAGAAAATTCAGATAATCTTCATCAGAAAGACAGGCTTTATGCTCAGTGAACAATACTATAGACACACTATAGGTTTAAATAAAGAAGGACTTCAGTGTTTTTCAAGTGTTAAGATCTATTTGAACAGGGAAACAAGTAGATCTTCTTGAATAATGAAGACTTTCGAACATTGGAAGGAAAGATAAGAAGAATTAACCACCTGCTGGTTCTTATGGTGTTGATTATTTGGCCTAACGATGTTTGGGAATGTTTCATCTTAAACCTTTTCTTTCTTAAAGGGAAAATCAAACCAAATAAAGTACCGAAGCTTTGTCACCATACAAATCAGAGAAGCCGTCTGGTGAAAGTTTAAATGATATTGGACATATTGGAGTTGCCCTATAAGCACAGAGTCTAACTTTTTCTGTCTTTCTTATATATAAAGCTTGTGGCAAAAGCATAATGTGATTAACACTTTCCAATCTTCATGAAACAATATTAAAAGTATATTTTGTTAAAAATAGATAATTCAGTTGTCCCTTTTATTTGTTTATTCTTTTCTTTGGCATTTGCCCAGTGGTCCCATTCTCTGATCGCATTATCACAAGATGATCAAAATGTATAAATAAAGGATCACAAATAAGCAATTTTTCATGGCATACTCAATATTGATACTTATTTTAATGCCACTGAAAAAATATAGAAACTAAAGAAAGCATAAATCACAAAGGGAATTATTCATGAGGATTAAGTTTACCTTTTAACAGATTATAAATAAGTAGAAAAGCTTTTGCGGGAATAGATGAAACAACACAACAATGTGAAGCTAGGACATGTGATTGAAGATTTATTACCTTACTTTATAAGTTCATACCATAAGGGTTGGTAAACAGGTTTGAACTATTACTACATGGATTTTATAGATGACTTGAGTTTCTTTCAAATTTCAGCAAACCAGGTCGATGATATAATCTTAAAGGGCAATTTAACCCTTGTAATAAGTTCATTTGTATGAAAACAAAAAATAAGATAAACAGAATGGCGAAAGTTTGAAATAAATCGAACCAATCATAAGAAATTTATGAATGTTGGAAATATGAGATCATTCAGTATAATGCTAATATATCAAATTGGCAGTTTGTCAGTGGATTGTGACTTAGTCGCCAACAACTCTCCCTTTTGTTGTGTTCAAAAAAATAAATAATTCTGTTTTACTCCTAGTAATGCATTCTCCCTTGGGGTACTAGCTACTCAAAGTTTTGGTCCAGCAACTGCAAAAGATCTGCCCCCATAGAATATAGTATTGGTTTTTGGTACACAAAGCAGTGCTTGATTGCTATTGAGATTCATAAGGGCAGTAACCATAGTAACCATCATTGTTATAACTTCCGGAGCCTATGACCTACAAGCATTGCTTTCTCTTTAGGCTCCATCATATTTCTTCCTTTATACAACTTAGTCTTATGTATTATTCTTTTTGTTTGTATAAACGCATCCTAAAATGAGTACAAAAATGTAACCTGCCAAATGTAATGATGTATTATACAACATGTGAAATATGGAAATAAACTGAAACTGAACTGAAAGTAAATGACTTAAACATCCTTAGTGTTCTCTGCAGATGAGATAAATTTCAGTGTGCTAGTATAAAATCGCTTCATATAGTTGAGGGGGGCCAGTGATTTGACCCGCTGAACTTGGAATGACTTATGAACTTGTTAGTCATCCCCTGATTCTCATGATGGATTATCAATAATTTCAACCAAGGTATCAACTTAAACTCATATAGGGGTGAAAATTAACCCCATTTAAACTCCCATCAAAGGATGTGTTGTTCCGCATATTTGAGCAACCAATCTCCAATTCTACTTTTAGATGAACCTCGTTATGGATACAAAAGCAGAAAGTCAGAATGTCACAGGCAATATTCCTCAGTTGTCATAAGTGAAGAATTACATCATTCAGAAACGATTTGCGATTCAATAGCAGATTTATAAATCACTGTCAAACTTTACATTTGAATTCCATTCACAGGAGAGAGAAAAGGAATTCAACATTTTTGATATTTCAGTTTCTTTAGGGTAGAGGAGGGGAGTCCGGCCTGTTCAACCCACAGTCAAAGAAACAGTTGTTACATGGGGATTACTTACAAATTATTTTGAACATTGCTGTTTTTATTTGCATTGTCAGCTTGAAAAGAACCTTGTCGCAAACCAATTCCTTCAGCGTATTCACGCATGGTTTATGCCGGCACAATAGCCAGTAATTGCAACAACTGATTCGAGCGTGAGGGAATCAAAATCAGACTCTTCCACAAAAGATTTGATGCCATGCAACACTAGCTCCATCAAAGGTTGCGCCCACTTCCAAAGTCAAATGTGCAAAGTAGATTATCTTATAGTCATATTTGTGCAAAATATTTTGTTCGGAAGACTCGCAACAATGACAATGCCAATATTTTCCACTGAGTGCACTTTTGGGTCATAACAAGATTTTGAAGATGAAAGAGATGTGAGCTGCAAAATATCGATTATTTCTCATTGTAACTGTTTTGAAGACTAATGAAAGATAATTGGCATACTACTTCAAGTCCACTATCCCCTTTCCAAGGGCTACCAAAAAGTTGTTTTCCTTATTGTGAAGCAAATAGTCATATTTGCCAGGTCTATAGAAAATAATTAAAAACAGTTACCATACTTGCAACCAATAACAAATGTGTAGGTATTAATATTTTTTTAGAATACAAGGCAGACATGAAAAAATTTAACACAAATTTGTTTTCTTTTAAAACAAGGCCAAACATATCTCTACAAAATAAGCAGCAAATTTGAAAATACTACTGAGTAATCTTTTTCCCCTTAATTCCACAAAAGAAGTTAATTTGGCACAGAAATAAAGTATCATATTTACCATTCCAGGATATTCTGATGAGCAATCAAAACATGCCTTTTATTTTGAAGTACCAATTAAATATGGGCTTTGGCGGCTTGACTGTAAGACCCTGAGTATCATACACTACTGAAGGAGACTTCTTTTCTCAATCTCTTCAGTGTCTAGTCGGTAAGCAAACTATAAACAATTTCTTTTTGTTGGAGCTCTATTTACATAGTGTGTAACATCTTGCAAGGCAATCCAACCGTTTTCTATAGATAATGTTTATTTGTCAGGTAAATGACTGTCACAGCTTGTTCAATACAATGCTACTGATTTACCATTAATACATGTTAGCTTCTCTGGAGTTGTTTTTGTTTGAACAAGATGAAAGGTTTTGGGAAGCAATAGATTCTGCTACAACCTTGGGTTTTATTTGAGATATCTTTCTTTCTTCTCTCTCAGGAGTTGTGGACATAGTTACACATAAGTCTGTAATT